AAAAACCTTAATTAATTGAAAGATATTAATTGGTCAAGCGGACCACGAAAACTAGTGAATTTAATAAGTTTTATACTAACGGTGATGTTTACATAAATATGATTAATTATGACCAAGACATTCTTAAATCGAAATCATATCACAAACATTAAGTTTCTCTTTATTTTATTACAATCTATCTTGACTTTTTTTATTCTTAACCATCGTCTTACCTTCGTTTTTAAATAATAATTTAGTTTGTTGAAGAGGATCAGGTTTATGGTCTTGAATGAAGTTACAAATTTATGCAAACAATTCGCCGTGCTTTCGCAACATATAGTCGCATCATCAGGGCCTGTATTCATAAAAAATCGATACATTAAACTTTGGAATTACAATTTTTGACCATTTATTTTAAATTTAACCTAATCAACTTTAATCCTGAAGAACTAGTCCATTAACATAAAAAAACCACAACTACGAATGAAGGTAAAAAAAAAAAACACTTTAAAACATGACCCTCGTGGTTTTTTTCCTTTGTTTGTCACAAAAAGAGGTTAACTTACCTCATGTTTTCTTTGTCTTTGGCCTTGGTAGAATCTCAAAATAGTTGTCTTTTTCAAATATGTAACATAATTCAGCAGCAGTAAATATATATAAATGTATAAACGATTTTTTATTGAATTTTTTCATGAAAGCTTTGTAAATTTCTTTAAAAAAATTGTAATTCTAAAGTTTAATGTGTCGATTTTTTTATCAATACAGGCCCTGGTGATGCGACTATATGTCACGAAATCTCGGCGAATTGTTTGTATAAATTGTAACTTCATTCAAGACCATAAACCTGATCCTCTTCAACATTGAAAAAAGTGGTCGATCCTCTCCGTAACATTAATAATTTAGTTTCCATACCAGTTTGTGATTCGTAATTATTATCATTGACTTTAGATTGTTTGTTAATTGAGAAAAGGTAGAATAAAGATTGTTCGGCTTGGCCCATTGTCGATCATACATATATAAACACAATCGGAGTGTCGGGTTCCATTGTTTCTTTGAAGAGTGTTCTGTATGAAACAAAAGCGCCCCTTGAAATATTAACCCAGGGTCTTAATAGCTCTGCAAGATTGAACGTCTGTTCGATTGTATCCGATTGGAGGGGGATCAGGGAATAATTGATAGGAGTCGGAGGAAGGATGGGACCCAAAAGACACACGCTTCGGAAGGGTTAAGTATATTATTCATGGCTCAATCTTGTCCTATCCGGTGACTTATTCAGGAAAAAGGGCGCCACCCTTTGTATGCCGGGGATTTTTCCCCCTAAACGATATCTACATATTTACTTGAATTGTTTAAACATTTCGTGCCGAACGCCGAGACGGAATGCAATTGCGGTCATGACATCAGTCATGTGTGGTTTAGACCGATGTCGGGTTTGTAGCTAGCCAACCAGACCGATATTTCAATTTCGATCAATTTATTAAAGTGGAACATCTCTCCAATCCGTTGAGAAAGTCGCCCTTATTTACTTACTTGTAAACAATTAAGTTTTATGACAGTTGATTATTCAAACGGCGTGGATCATGTTTGCAGTTCACATAACTGTTAACTCAAATATACAGGGTGTCCTTTTTAGATGACCCGGATGAATTTTTCTTGAGCCAATGACGCTATCAAAAAACAAAAAATACGTGTTTAATATTTTTAGTCAAGTTTCCAATTTTTATCTTTTTGTTGGAGAAAAATTATACATGATCCCTCAGACCCAGGTCAACTTCAAAATTTCAAATACGACCCTATACATCCGTCACATCATTTCAAAAGTCTTTTTAAGACACAACAGTTGAAAACAACAGTTCAATCGGATTTTAAATTGGTCAAAAAATGACAAAGTTATGGCAAAAAGTTGGAAAAAGCGCATTTCGTTTGTTTCGTTTGGAATTCCATTAATTTTCTTCTTCACTAAAGTAAACATTAATTATCTTTACTGTTTACATTCTGTCATTATTTGCCAAACTGCATTATGCGAGCAAACTTTAATTCCTGGAAGTAAACAAATTTTACAATAGCATCTCTTCGCTACATTCAGTATTCCATTCAAAATGGACCGAACAGCACATTTTTCCGATCAGCAACGAGTTGATTTGTACGACAGCTTTATTGATAGCGGTCGTATTGCACGTCGTGCATTCGAGTTGTACACCCAAAAATTTCCTGATCGCCGCAGAGTAAACCAAAAAAGGTTAGTTCGTTTTACCCGCAATATACGGATCTGTTGCTGTTATATCACCAAGAAACGGCTGCGTAATTTCGACGAGGAGCTGCATATTTTACTGTATTTTCGCGAAAATCCGAATTCTTCTCTCCGAAATGTTGGAAGAGTTTTAGGTTTTTCAAAAAATAAAATTAGAGATCTACTCCGGAGACGTACTCTGATTATGACAATAGTCGAACGATCCTTGCTCAAATGTCGATTTGGAAGGCTCAAGAAATCGTTCTTCCAAAACCCAAGTTCACCTCTAATGGCATACTTATCCGTTGGATGTTTCGAACGTGGGCTGAGGAGAATCCGAAAATTTCGTACTTTGCCAGCATCTGGTGGTTCACAGTATCGACGTTTGTTGTGGACTTCTCGGAAATAAATTAATTGGGCCTTATTTCTACGAAAATATTTAAATGGTGCTCGGTTTCTTAGTTTTCTGAGGGAAGTTTTACCAACATTATTAGATGTTGCTCCTCCAGCTTGATGGAAGCCCACACACAATTCTTTGCGATAAGACGTTATTTGAATTTTAACTTCCGGGATAGGCGGGTTGGACCTTGTGGCCTTCTCGGTCACCCGATTTACCTCCACTTCTCTATTTTCCGAGGGGCAATTTAAAAAACAGTGTCTACGCAAATCATAACCATGTAACCTCAGGTGAATAACTGCCGCAAAAGATAGAAAATGCTTGTCAATCCATCTCCCCTGACTTTATCGCTTTGAGCACCGGTGTAGACTGGTTAAACAGAGCAAATCTTTACGCAGGCTGGTAGTCCGAACATGAAATGTGAGTAATAAATAGCAACCCAAATTACTGTTTTTTTTTAAACTTCTTGCTATAACTACGCCATTTTTGACCAATTTAAACTTCGATTGCACCATTGTTTTCAGCGTATAAAGTCTTTTAAAATGGTGTGTCACAATGTATTTGAAATTTTGAAGTTGAACTGGTCCTGAGGTAGGTTGTTTTATTGATAGCGTCATTGGTTCAAAAGAAATTCAGCCGAGCCATCTAAAAAGGACACCCTGCATTGCAAGAAACCGGCAAAATAACGACTAGACTTAGACTACAACAAACAAATGAGTAGTATAAACACGAACGAAATACAATAAGAAACATAGTACACATGTTTTACCACAATTATTAAACCAATATATGAATTTATAGTGGACATATACAAAAAACACATAAAAATTCAGACATGGAATGAATCATATACAAAAGTAAAACGACAGATAAATTTATTGTTAACCATGTGCATATACAATAATTTAAAAAACATCTCATGGGTGGAACAGTAATAAAACTATCAGATAGACTAGCAGCTCTAATGGCCCTCAATGTTTACTAGACTAATTCAAACTAATCTCGTGAGCAGAATTTAAAAAAAAAATGTAAATTACATAATCAAATGAATGTTATTAATTGGTCCAGCGGACCACGAAAAATAGTGAATTTAATGTAAATTACATTGTAATTTGTTTTGTTTTTTGTGAGTACTGTTTGTTCTTGTATTTTACGGTTATTATAAACCAGTTTGTTTTAACCTAGGATAGATAAATTAGTTATATTAAACAATAGATTCCAACGTGGAAAAACGCTAAAATTGTTTTTGAAGTAAACAATTCTGTTCATTTTAAGCACACTTTAACGCTCGAAAGTATGGATTGTAATAGCAGTCAAAATATTAACAATATTTGCCAAGAGGCATTTTTTTCTGATCTCCAGTTTTTTACTTTCAAAATCATAACTCGTCTGGATTTTATACATCATTCGGAAAGCTGCATTGCTTCTATTTGAGCCTATGTGAAAAACTATTAGTTTTGGTTTTTATTAATTATAAATGAGAAAAATAATGTTGAAATCAACAAAAACTTCCGTTTTATTTTATATCTCCGGTTCTTTTCTAATTTACGGATGCCAAGTTTAATCGGTAGATCAAGTTCTTTGAAATTATCACCGTTTTTGTGATCTTTTAAAAAATTTTCGAAGAAAAGAAATTATTTTTTGATTTCCCAAAAATTGGTATTCAGATTTTTTTGTACTGCATCTTTTTTCTTTATACAAAAATATTTGAACTTTTCGTACGTTCCTAGATCACCAAATATTCATTTATTGCTTGCGCTCAGATTGATTCTTTTCATGTTTTGGATTTGTTTACAAATTATACTAATTTTTTGTTTACCCTAAATTTAATTTTCATTTTAATCTGCTTATCTGTTAAAAATAATAGAACTATTATTCTTGATAGCTTTTTTTAAATGGTAAATACTATTCAATGTCACATTTGCTGAATGTTTCAAAGCAAAGCAATTAAAATTAAAATTAAAATTAAAATTAGATTAAATCAAAGTGGCTTGCACTAATTTTTAGTATTTTTTATTAACACTTTGCGCTATCTTGAAATTTATTCTTAAGTCAGCGATGTAATGAACTTGCATTATGCTATTTATATTCGGTTAATTGTACAGATTTGTTTTTTATTTTGGCTTAAAATTATTTTATATTTGGCTTTAACTAGGCCGTTGTCCATTTGTGAATTCACAGGCAACATTAACAGTTTTTTAAAGAGTGATATATATATTTTACCTGAACTCCTTATTATGTGTTTATTATAATTAATCTTGAAAATTTTATTAAAATTATTCGAAATTTTGAAAAATCCTCTTTACAACATTTCTCCTATTATAATTAATCAATCTAATTATAAATTGTTGATAAGGTGATAAGATTAATAATTTATTGTTGCTTATTTTTCAGACTACCAGTTGAACCCGAAGTCTTGCCGTGTAAACGAACTCGGTGGCCACTGCATGTTCGTCTGGGAATGCATCAACAGCGGGGGTGTACACGTCGGCATGTGCGTGGATGCCTTTATGTTCGGCACATGCTGCGCTCACAATCTCACAAAAGGTAAATAATCAATATTGAAAATTTTTTTTACAAACCGAAATAGGCGAACTGATATTTCGACAAATGTAAGTAATATTTTCGGCTTTATCATTAATCATTGCATATTTGGCATTTCCAATGGAAATCAAAGTTAGGGGAAGTAATTGTAAGTAATTAATATTATATTAGAAAAATAATCAGGATTCGTTTTTTTCAGCCTATTTTCTCATCCTATCACTCCCGGTATTCCTAAATATTCATAACGTCACTGTATTTTATCCAATTTTTGATGATATGATAGATCTTACAATTTGTCTGAAAGCTGATTTTGAATTTGTTGATGAAATCAACAAAACCTCTTCAAGCGTTTTATTTGATTTCTCCAGTTCTAATTTATTTACAGACGCTAATTTATATAGTTTAAACGGTTCTAAAGCACTACAAAGTTTTGTTTATCAGTGAAGTTCTTTGAATTTTATGATTATTTTTATGATTTTCGAAAAAAAATCGGTCGCAATTGGAAGGCGAAATATAACAGACATACCTACCACACCGTTTGAGGATAATGTGTAAATTGAGTATCTTATTTTTATTTTAACATAGAATAACGTATAGAATAACAAATTGACGTTTTTATAGGTATAGGTAGATTTTTGTTGATTTCGTTCTTTATTTTTCTCACTTATTTTGGCATAACATTTAAGCCATATTTTGTTAATGGTTCAAAAAAGATAAAACTTTCTAATGTTTGTAACTACTTTGAATTTGGACAAAACTACAGATAAAATAAATTTTCAAGTGGAACAGAGGATATCGGGGAGAAAAAAATTGCCCTTGGCGAATCTAGCCTAAATATTATAAAAATATTTTGACAGCATTTTAGAGGTGCTTATATCAAATCCAATTTTTCCATTAATGTTTTTGGGCCTTCTGGTTTTGGGTTTTTGTCAATTTGTTATCTAACCTTATTTAATACAATCTTACAGGCTATTTTCTCATCCTACGTAAACAAATGCAACGCCTGATATATAACATCTTTAAATTGCAAAACAAAAACAGAATCATATTAAAATAAAGTATTTACTTAAGGAAAAGGTATCTTATTCTAGTTCTATTTTAAAGAAAGATTGGACACGAGTCAAATAATCTTCAAAGTACTATCCCCAAAAAACAGTTCCACAGAAATCATGCGTTTATAATTACTAATTAATTAATTAGTTAGTTTAAAATGTTTACCTCCGATCTTCACGAAATCGAATTACTTATTATCATATAAATTAACCGTCTGTTTAGACATTGCGGTTTCGAATGGAAGCAGTCGAGGACAGGATTTGCGGTCGGGTGTGGGAAGGATCTCGACATTCTCGAGAGACGTCCCGGATCCGACGATAAATAGATACGAGTTATACGACGATCACTTTCATCGAGTATGAACAATTTTAATTAGAGAGGATTTTACAATTTTGAGCCGAGGGCTTTTGACTGACTTTTGACATTTGTGTCTCAGATAGACTGGCAATAAACCTCTACTTCGATTCCTAGTCCTAAGAAAACCATGACTGGTGCTGGGTACTTACAAATTATACAATTTATACTTATAAAACAGTAGTAATAAGTTTGGAGGACTGTTAATTGGTTTGTAAATATGCTATATAAATCCTGAAATATTTTAGGATTTACTGTTTGTACCAAACAACTGTTTGGTTTATTACCCCTCTTACTAATAAAAATTAAAAAACTATCAACAAAGTGGTCAAAAAAAGATAAAATTCCATTTCATCAAACTATTTCTATCAAATTATTTAACAGTTAATCTGCTTCTTTTGTCATTCACATATTTTTAACAATTTAAATAAATATATAATCTATCGTTATTAATAACCAAAAACAATCACAAAAGTTATTCAAACATCTTAGAAGCTTAGGATAGTATGAACAATCTGTATTTCTTAATTTGTTGAGTCGTGAGGAGTGTGAAGTTTAGAAGTCAAGAATGGGCTAGTTTAGAAAAACACATTTTAATTTTTTTGCCGACGTTTCGACCTTTATTCGGGTCATCTTCAGGGCGTGGGTAAATTACAAAACATATGCTTATTTGGATAAAATTTAAGATGATTACGAAATAGTTGGTTCAAATTTTATATTTACAACTTAAATTGTATTCTTTTCAATCAACGTATGTTTTGTAATTTACCCACGCCCTGAAGGTGACTCGAATAAAGGGCGAAACGTCGGTAAAAAAATTAAAAAGATTTTTTTCTAAACCAGCTCATTCTTGACCTCTCCTCACGACTTCAACAAAGTATGGACAATCTCGCGGTCGTCCTGAGTAGTAGATTTTGTACATTTAAATTTATAAAACTGTTGAGTGAATGGAAAATATTGTCAATTTGAACAAACTACATTGATTGTGTATTGAGCTTCAACAGAATGGCAAAAAGATGGAAAATTCGAAAGCTTGTAAGTTGAGACGAGGTATTATATATATGTATGGTGTCTGAGTTGAGCGAGGTCACAATAGCTGAAGTGGTTAGAACTGGGGCGTATTGAGCGGAAGGTCGCTGGTTCGAAACCTGCTCGTTACACTAACATTTTCATCTCAACCAATACCTTAGATAAAAAGTATAATTAATTACTACAATAGAATATTTTCTCATTTGAATTTTTCTGTTGGCATCATGTGGGAAGCCAGCATTCATCGTTGCTCTTTCAGCGATCCTGATGTTATTTTCGTTTCGGCTACCTTTCATCTACATGCATCGGCTGATAGGTTTGGATATGAGGATACTTTCTTGAGAAGAGTAGACTATGTGTTAGTGATAAGCCTATGCACGAATGTTTTTCGCATAGTGTGCATTTTACAAGATGGAAATTTAGATGTAGTAAGCAGTGTTGAAAAGGGTTCTGAGGACTTTGGTTGGAAGCATTGTATTCTTTTGACGTTTGGAGGTCTGCTCCTTAATTCAAATTCTTATGACCAGTTTCATTAGAGCCTTATAGAATGTTAGCTTTTTTTTTGATATCTGTGATTTTTTCTAGTAATCAGAGGCGTTCGTTTATTTCTGTCTCTTTGTTCGTCTATGTCGATTCTAGAATAGACGTGAGTTGAAATAGAACCAAAGGTTGCGTATGCAGTCAATTTTAGGGATAGGCGTATTACTAAGTATTATTTCATAACTTTCTGAGGGGTGAGTGCTCAATCTACGATCTAAAGGATCTATGAAGGTCAGCAGATATTGATGTCCTTTTCTGGTCGTGCTCAATGGGCTCACAATGTTTAGCGCGACCTGTTCGAATGGCCGGGTGAGTATCGAGCGGAACTCATAAACCAGTTGGCGACTTTTTTTTTTGTTTTTTTTTGCACACGATAAAAACCCCTTCACCGCTTCTTCGATGCCACGCCTTCAGGTTGGCCAATAATTAGAGGCTACCTTAGCTTCAGTTCGTTCGATTCCTGGGTGCCACACCCAGGGTGTAGTGTGATATTCAATCAGGATATCTCTCACCCGGCTGGTCGGCACCAATAGTCGCCAATGTTCCCCATGTCTGTCGTTCTTCTTAACTCGGTACCAGAATACTCGTTTGTCCTTCTTTCTCTCTCATTATTACTGAATAATTAGCTTCTGCTTTGTTTAATTGGCGACTGGCAAATGCGATTGGACGTTCTCGGCCGTTCTGTCGTTGAGACTCAAGAGCGCCCAACGCCGTGCCAGACGCGTCCGTGGCCATTATGAATGGCTCAGTGAAGTCGGAATACGCCAGTATGGTATCGGACGTAAGAGCGAACATTGCATAACGTTTCAAAAGCCACTTGCTGGTCCGGTCCCCATTCGAACGACGGTTCTTTTTTCAAGAGGGCCGTCAACGGTCTGACCACCGCCACGAAGTTCTGGATGAAGCGTCGATAATAACCTACTAAGCCTAGGAAGGCCAGTATTTCTTTTGCTGACTTCGGCGTCTTATAATCCCGAATGGCAGTAACCTTCTCGGGGTCGGTGGAGACCCCATGTTAGCCCACGATATGTCCAATTTTCTTCGTGGTGGAGAATCTGGTCTTGGGTTGTTCTTCCTCGGCAACTCGGCTCTGATGATAGCATGAGTGCATTTGCTTTCGTTTATCTCAAACTAAGTTCACTCCATTCCGACATTCCCAATACGATACAATACAAAATTCCGCTGGAGGTCTTCCAAAGCAGTTGCGGGATCACTGCTGAGTTTCACGTAAAGTAAGCAAGATTGTTGGACGGTGAAGAAAGGATATCGGAGATGAGGTACAAGATTGGTCCGAGCACACTGCCTGTAGAAGGTAATATTTGTAGTAGTTTGATCCTTGACGAACATAGAAGAATTGTAGGATGATTGACCTATCTGGTAGGCAAGATTAGCTACACGGTATTTGGAAGGACGATTTTTACTTTTTATAAGAACATTCATGCCACAGACATGCATGTTGTTTATGCACAACGAACGTGATCTCATGTGGTCCACAACACAAAGCATCTGCTAGGTTTTAGAGTACTGGAGGAGAAGAGGAGAATAACCGAACTGGTGATCTGGCCCAAGCTTTTTTCTCCATCTTTTAGTTTTAGGAAGAAGTTTAATGAATAGATTTGCCGGGTTTACCCAAAATACAAGCACGGATTTTGCCATTTTCGGTTTTGGAATTTCTAAAACAATAGTTTGCCAACAATAATCAGGACAGTGAAGGGCATGAATGAATTTATGGCCAGGAATAGATTTCTCAATTTTTTTCATGATGGGTTTACAAATTGAAGAGAAGAGGTTGTTTTGTTTCCATTTTTTGGTATGGTCATTTTGACAAGTGATTATATTTCAGGAGAACTGTCCAGGATCCCATGGAACACTAATAGCCCCTCGGTTCTCTACACTCCTCCTAAATGGCCTCAAGGAAGTCAGATAAAACCTCCAAACCTTTCTCGGCCGAGCGATCACCCATCGACCAGACCTCCGTTTATAACCAGGCCAAAACCTTCTAGTCATTACTACGATAAGTAAGTAAAATAATAATTGATCCTTAAAAAAGTAAATCTTTTACTTTATTTTATTTTTTTGTAGGTGGTCCAAGTCTACGACGACGACTACCAACTCACCGAACGACGTGGAGGTGAACCAGGTCGACTCAACCTGGGCTTCGAACGGCATCAGGCCCCAATCAACTCCGACCTTCATCACTGGGGGAAAACCGCACAATTGGCCGACTGGGAGGCCGACGAAGCTGAGGCCGGCTCCGCCTTTGTCTACGGTGAGAACGACGACGACGACGACACGTATGACGACGACGACAAGCACAACGCAGAGAACAACAGCAAGCACCACAAGGCAGACGACGCCAAGAACCACTACCACACCATCGCTCATCACATCTCCTCCCCAAACTGGCCATGGAAACAATGCCGCTGCGAAAGGAGGTAAAATTTACACAACTTTATTATTTTTCAAATTTTCATATTTTCAAAATTTGAAACTACCGAAACAAGGACTTGAAGAAAATCAACAAACAAAACAATGAAAAAATATTCTAAATATTTAAAACTCATAATGGCTAAAACACTGTTAAAATACAATTATTTAAATGATATGAGCACGCTTTTTATGCATTAAATATGCAAAAATCTTATATTATTTACACTAGTTGTATTTTAAATCACCAATCAGTCACATTTGCCGACGTTGTAACTTTTTAATTACTGAGATATAAAAGTTTGTGTTTAGTTTACTGTGAAAGTTTTCAGAACATGGAAACCAACAAACAGTTTCGTTTAATTTACTCTTTAATTAAGTAAACACACTTCGGTAATAAGATTGGAATAAACGTTGAATTTATTTCAAAGTTTGATTAAATTATGCCACGATAACGTTGGTTTAATGATTTAAACTAATATATTACGCGATCCCAAAGTGGAGTTAAACTTTTTTTTCGCGTAGAAAGAAAGGATTTCGAATAATCCCTAAAACAAAATTATCATGTTTGAACGATTTGAACGATTACCTTGCGTAAAAATAATAAATAATAATCCCTTATCGGTATGAACAACGGATTATAAATGAATTATTTATACAGAAGTTAAATATATTTTTCCGGCTAAACTTAGTTTTAAAAGTGAATAATCATTTTGATAAATTCATACAGTAGAGGTCCGCTAATCCTATCACCGCTGATCGAAATGACTCAAAATGACTGATCGAAATCAGAACAAATTTCGTAAATTTTTTTGTGTAAAAATTACGAGTTTTTAAACATGACTGCTGATTATTGGCCGCAGTTTCATCCGAAAATTGTAATGTTCTGCGTAGGGTTCCAATAATTTAGTCCTTTCCAAACGTGCTGGTCGTTTTGTTTTTGAAACTCATTTTGACTCATCGCCATGTCAACTGGTCTGTTTTAACCAAAATCTAATAAAGCTGAAGGTGATAAGAAGCCGAAATTTATTCGACAAGCCAAAACTAGGAGGACGGTCAGACGAAAACCGTCTAGACTTAACAACGTTTTTCACATTTCTACAGCTTTTTCAATACATCCAGTACATTTTTTAGCAGAAGAAGTGTGACTATCTCCTGCTCCTTGCTTCTTTCTGCATTAGTCGGCTTATCTGAACAGCACTAATCTGAACATTTTCGTTCGGCCGAGAGTACATTTTTTTTTAAATGTAGTAATAATATTTAGTATTTTGGCTTTACCCGCTCCAAACTCGAACGCTGATTTTTCGCTACAGTTTCGTTTAAAAAAAGAGAAGGTCTACGTAGTGACGAACCTAAGCTTTGTCTTTTCCGAACTCTTTAGTCTGTCTATCATCATTGTTTTGGTCTGTCCGACGATTTTCGACTTGTGGCTATCAGTGTTCCAAAATTTACTATAAACTGAAGATGACAAGAATTTGTCTAATCCGAACAATCCTAATCAGTTTGAACCCGGACTCTACTGTATTTCATCCGATTCACCATATTCCGCTGAGCACGGCGCTGAAGGTTTACAGTCCCGCACAACACCTAAGTATTCCCGGATTAGATGTTACACGGCGTTCATCTTTAACTTTTACCCCGCCAACTCCCTCGGCGTTCGTTCATCTTTAAAATAAATTTAACAATAGATACTTTTGTAAGAAAGTGAACATTTGAGAAATAGGGAGGTGTCTTTGGGAGATGGTCATCCCGGTTTGGCATTTAATCATTCAGTCTGTAAAACTGAACCGAATCCGGAAAATGCATTTTTTTTTCTTCAGAATCTTTCTTCCGCGCTCTGGTAATAGTTCTACTGTAAGATTTTTTTGTATAAAGTAAAACATTTTCTCGGTTATTGGTATTGATGTTTACTTTGTTTAAGAAAGGTTTTCTTAGTTATCATAAACATTTATTTGTTACTGCTTTCCAAATGCATAAGATATGCTCTGTTCTCTCTCTCTTTCTCTCTCTCTCTCTCTCTTTCTCTTTCTCCCTCCCTCCCTCCCTCTCTCTCTCTCTCATTGTTCAAACAATGAATTTCTTATTCTTACTTTCTTTCTTCCTCTAAGTACCTATGTAATTATATTTTTGCAAATTTACATACACAATTTACAAATTTACATCTTCCACAATATCTGTTTCATCAAATTCTCACCATTTTTTTTTCTTCTCCCTTTTCCCACGATTTTTCTATTATTATTTCCATGTCTGTTGTAAAGGCTGTGTTCTCCAAGGAAGCCTCCTAAGTCCAATCCTGTATCTGCTTTATACCAGCTACTTGTCACCAGCAGAGCACAACAAGGAAGGAAAAGTTAGCAACACCCAGAAAATTCTCTCTCTCTCTCTCTCTCTCTCTCTATTTATTTTTCTGGCTCTATTTATCTATCTCCTTCCCCTTTTCCCTTTCCTCACTCAATTTCTCTCTCTCTCTCTCTAAATCTCTCTATCTTTCTTTCTATCACTCTATCTATCTCCTTCCCCTTTTTTGACCTTTATCTGTCTTTTTCTCTCTCCCCCTTTTACAAATTTTATTTCAATCTTTCCCCTTTCCCCTTTCACACTCACTTTCTCTCTCTCGCTCTCTCTCCCCCTCCCACCCTCTCTCTCCCTCTCCCTCCCTTTCTCTCTCTCTCTCCCTCTCACTCTCTCTCTCTCTCCCTCTCTCTCTGTCTCTCTCTCTCTCTCTCTCTCTCTCTCTCTCTTGTATGACAATCTTTAAAAGCATGAAAGCTTTTGGTATGACCGTGTTGATTGTGGTGAAACGTTCAGAATTATATAGAAACTCTCTTATAATTTTAGGAATATTTATTACTTCTATCAATTTTCAATAATTACTTTACTCTCTCACTTAACCTCACAAATTCGCACGCAGAGGGAATGAAATATCCAGGGTTATGGTATCTTTATGACGGTAGGAACTTTTAGATGTTCACCTCATAAATTCTGCTGCTTAACAACCGGGGGATTTATGAAAATGGTCGCTTTCGACGAAAATTCAACTGCACGTCCATTACTATGGAGTATCCAAATTCATAAAACATTACTGCTATACTGTTTACTTTAAATAATATTCGCTGTAAAAATACTTATGCCATACTTAATATTTTTGTCATTGACCAACGTTGAACGTACAACACTAACACAAACACAATTAAGACAATAGTAAGGATGTAAGTAAAGTAATTCCTGTCACATAGGAACGTTTCATGTCCAACTACGCGTTTTTGTGGCGGACGATTGATCAAACTATTTTAACAGCTTTCATACTGTAATTATCAAATTAAAAGCCACGGGATATGCCGGATTCGAACCTCGAACCGCTAAGGTGGTACATACAATAGAAGTAGGACGCCCTAAGAACATGGCCCAGTGTCACTACACTTAAGACAATATTTTCATATTTAAAAAAGAAAAAAAAAATGAAACGGGATAAAAAAAAAATTTGACAGAATTGACGTCAGTACCTTCGTGTCAATGTCGAGAAATTTATCTCTTTTATACGGGCATTAACACTTTAAAGGGTTTATTATAATAACGACACATATGGCTTCTTGTAAATCGAAATTAATAGTTGAACTTACAGAGAATGAGATTACCGCATCCAGTTTTTGAGATAATTTAAAACAATGATATAAACTGTCTAAAATCATCGATAAAATTAACCTCTTAATGATTATTTATTGGACTTGCTCTCATAATATTTGTTTTAAACAGAGATTCAGCGACTGTTTTGCCTCATTTTTAAAATACTATAGAAATGAAAAGTCAAACTGTTGAAATTATGTATATATCGGTTTCTTTCATTCTGATCTGATTTTAATGAATAACATGATTTTTCAGAGTGTGGCGTAGCCCAATTGAACAGGCGGCAGGAGACGAGGATAGTTGGCGGAAAGAACGCCCTTTTTGGACTTTGGCCATGGCAGGTGAGTGAAAGAAGAAAATCCTCGACTTTTTTTTACAGCGGTTAGACTTTTCAAAGGCCTTCCGTCGCACTTTTTCCTCCATCAATTCTATGGAAAACCCTTTTATACATACAATAAGATAAATGATGATGGAAACCCGGAAAAAAACAAGTGATCATTAATTAAAGGCTTAAATATCATTGTGTCCACGGAACTGAATTGAATATTATTTTTGCGCCTGCTCCGCCTTATTTTTTGCCCGTGTTTTCCCTTTTCCTCGGCCTTGCTAATCTCTTGGCGTGACAATGGGAACAGTATCTTAATGACGTCCGTGTTAGAATTTTCTTTTGCGACATATTTTTTTCACTATGTCGAGAGAATTCGATGTTTTCTTCTCTGGCTTCATTATATCGTCTTAATAAAATATTGTCCTTCTTTTCATGTCTTTTATTCTGCCCGCAGGCTTCACTTAAACACAGAAAAACCTTTCTTTAAAGCTTATATAATTATAAAAATCTTTTTTGTTTATTTTGAGAAATAGCACCATAGAAAGTCTTTTATTCTCAAGAATATTCGCTATAAATTAAATAGGCTAGTTTTTAAGTATATAAAGTATATAAAAGTATATTTTAAGAACACATTTACCTAAATGTTTTCAAAAATTACCTATAAAGGTCAAGGATTTCTTTCGTTCAGTCTTTCTGTTACTTCAAAACTTCCTAAATGACTGATTTTTCCGTGCCATTGAAGTCAATTCTCCCTTCACGTCATTGTATCCATGCTGGCGACCCTCAGGGTAACGGTTCTATTCCTACTTTTTTTGGTAGGGTTTAATAGGGATTCCAATCTTTTCTTCATTGCGACCTGTATAGGACTATTGTGGAGCCCCCATATGACTAAGACCATGGAAAGTTCGCATTTTCCTGGATGCTTAACACATACCGTATGCTTAGTGGCCTCACATTCACAAAGAATGTGCCTATGTGTCTTGTTTTATGTTGACAGCAAAGCTTTCTGTTTCTGCTTTGTCCATCTTGCCCATGGTTATGAAGAGGAGAGCGAGGTCTATAATATTTGATCCATAATCCTGATTGTCTGAGTGAGAAAGAAAGTTTTCCTTCGCCTTCCTTTTCAAGAGATTTATAGTGTTTAACTTCCTTTATCCGTGGTGCTTGATTTTTAGTTTTGCTTTCACAAAGCAATTTTACAGCTCCAATTTAGCACACCCTATTTTTCATCTAGCTAAAATTCCAGCCCCATGGGAGGAAGGCCGGCTAGGGAGTAAGCCAGTTCGTTTCTTTCTGTAGCTTCAAGTCCGAGAACCATTTCAAGGTTGTTTTGTTCTGTGTACCTATGTCCATTAGGCAAGTTATGACATCCCGGACTAGTTCGAAGTTAAAAACATAAAATTGACTTCCTTTATAGTTGCCAGACTCTCCAAAAATAAAAGCTCTTCGTACGTTTCATTTCCTTTTTTTTAAATCTTGGTATGAGAATTGTCTTACGGAAGTGGCTATGCAATGTACAGGTTTATGAACAATCACAAAATTTATGTGCCGATGTTTCAGGTTTCACTAGGCAGAATTGGCATGAGTTTTCTGTTATGCTCATCATCGTTAATCGCCAAGTTATGGCACCATTACATTCTCTTTTTCTTACTTTCATGTAAACCTTGTTTTGTTTTCTCTGTTGATTAATAATAACTTAAAATTCAGTTCACATTAGTTAATTAAATCCTGCTAATAATCAGAACCGAATCAAATCCTCAACAAGTCCAAGTAACCCCTACACCTCCTAATAACTGATCCATCTTTGCTCCATTAGTACATCCGTTTTCTGAAACTTGAGGTTGACATATATCATTTATGGACAAGGATGTCCTCATGGAGCTGTCAAAGTTGAATTTTCTTACCCATTGGACGAACGTTAATTCCTCATATTTAGTTTTATTTCTACGTATCTTAGGCCTCTGTTGGCACACACGAAAGCCACCTTTTTTACAATAAGGTGTACGACTGATGTGGTTTCCACGCACATGGCTTAATCGACAGAAATTTTTGAAACAATATAAACTCCTCTCTCTACTAATTTTTGAGTTTGTGTAAGAAAAATTGAATGTATCTGCCCTGTTAAAATTTGGTGTTTCGATAATTTGAAATTAGCAAAATTTTACGAATTATGTAATTTCATATTTGACTAATCTCATTAACTTTAGTGCTATGGTGCTTGCGAATTGTTGTTAATAAGTTTTCAAAACTAGTCGTTAGATGTTAATATTAAATTAATTAACTGTACAAGGAATACAATTAATTAAGAGTTTTAGTTGAGATGAAAAAAAGTTAATGGCACGAGAGGGATTCGAACCCACGACCTTCGGCTAGATACGCCGCTGCTCTACCACCTGATCTGTCGTGACCTCGATCCAATCGGACATCAACTCCCCATCTCAACCCCACCTTATGAGTTTTCCCTCCTTTTGCCATTTTTCAAATGTCGTGTAATCGGTTTGGATTCTCGACGACAATTGAAATGGCGACGGAGAGCTCTAGTGAAGTGTACTTCATTTTTAAATCATTAATTCATTATTTTCGTGATCCGCTTGACCAATTAATACAAGACAATTAATTAAGGTTTTTAGTTGAGATGAAAAAAACTATATATAACTATATAACTATCTGATATCTGACTTAGTTCTTTACGCCTGATTTAGTTTTCTATTACATTTTAGTAGTGTCAGGATTGACTCATTGACTCACTAATCTTCTGACATTCTCCCTTATCACTGACGCCTGACCTACACGGATTGTTCAAGAGAACAAAAAATAAACAGCGGTAGAGTAAGCTAGACATACGTGTAGAAAAGGTCATCCGTTGGTTAAGATATTTATCAGCTCTCTAGATTTTTATGGCTGCTCATTATTAAATCCATTATATTTAGTGACCTATTGACCAAATTACTTCTTTCAATTACTTGATCTTTTTAAGTTTTCCTCTTTTTGTAATTTTTTTTAAATTCGAAAGAATGTAGGTTGAGATAGGGAGTTGGTGTTCGAGTGGACCGAAATCACGATTGCTCAAGTCGTAGAGCAGCGGCCTATTTAGCGGAGGAAGGTAGTGGGTTCGAATCCCGCTCATGGCACTAACTTTTTCAACTGAACCAAAACCTTACATCAAAAGATTAAGTACAATAGTTACACATTATCTTAGCTTCCTTTCGAAGGAATTAATTATATTAAAAATTGTATCCAAAAATAAAATAATAATTTTAATAAATTCACTAATTTCGTGGTCCGCTTGACCAATTAATATATTACAATTAATTAAGGTTTTTAGTCGAGATAAAAAAGTCAATGGCACGAGCGGGATTCGAATCTCGAATTTATCTCGACTAAAAACCTTAATTAATGTAATATATTAATTGGTCAAGCGGACCACGAAATTAGTGAATTCAATGAATTAAATGAGGTATACTTCACTAAAGCTCTCCGTGGCCATTTCATTTGTCGCCGAGAATCCAATCCGAATACACGACGTTTGAAAAATGGCAAAAGGAGGGAAAACTCATAAGGTGGGGTTGAGATGGGGAGTTGATGTCCGAGTGGATCGAGGTCACGACAGCTCAGGTGGTAGAGCAACGGCGTATCTAGCCGAAGGTCGTCGGTTCGAATCCCTCTCGTGCCATTAACTTTTTTTCATCTCAACTAAAAACCTTAATTAATTGTCTTGTATTAATTGGTCAAGCGGACCACGAAAATAGTGAATTAATGTACAAGCAATATTGTTCCGTTAAAATTGCATCTGAAACAGCAGAGCTTCGAATGGAAAAATAAAAAATTTATCCAATCGGCAATTTGTATTGCATAATTGTTTGAATCAGGGCACCACAAGATTTAGGATATCCCCAACTCTAATGTATTTTTAACGGTTTTCCACGAATGACCCCCTCATACTGATGGTAGGGGACCAAGTTGAGTTGGTCTTCAAAAAAACCAATGCCTGAAACGTATTAATATAATTTGCTAATTATATTAATATTAATATAATATTGATTCAAGAATTTGCTAATAACGAGAGCAGGATTGAGTTTGTAAAATGAGTTATAATGTTAGTACAAATTGTAATTAAAAATATATAAACATATACGAACAGATACGATAAATTCACATGAGAACAATTAGTATTGCATGCAATAAAACAGGTCAATTATTGTAATAAAATTAATAATGTAAAACTAAAAGAGGATATTAATATAACTAATAGATATACAATAAAAAGGAATAATCTGACCGAGTGGTAGTGTCCAAGAGGCTGCAGGCTGAATGGAAATGGAAAAGATGGAGCTGGGTGCTGGAATGAAGAGATGATCCACGAAGTTTGTAGATTCTTGACTCTCAGTTCCGCAGATAATAAATGGTTATGCGAAGTAACTCGTAAAGTGAGTTGGCACAGACGTACCATGCGGCTCCCAGCCTCGAAGAACCGATGGAAAGTAGACGCCAAAAATTGGGCAGAAGGAAAGGAACGCTTCTGCAGGCCCGCACGCTCGTTCTCAAAAATTCGCACTTGTCTCCCCACTCTCCGCGCCGATTTATCAAAAACTCTGTACGCAACTAAGCCTACGGCCGATCGCATCTCGCACCTGCTTATACACTATTTAAAACTACCTTAATTTTATTATACATAGATTATAAATCCACTCTAGTTTTTAGCAAATTGTTAAATGAAAAATAACCGTTTAAAAATAGACGAAAATTTAAATGATACCAGATTGACCACAACAATAATAGACAAACATAGAATAATTAAACAGGTCGTATACTTGAGACGGGATAGTGGGGACGGAATTCATGCAGGACCGCAAGAATTTTTAATTCCACGCCACACCCCGGGCGTCACTTGTCAGCCAAATGGATATTAAATTCATGCGTACTAGAATAAAAATAAAAACGTTTCTAAGGGAGGGTATTTTTTAATAAATATTCAAACCAATAAACATCCCTCCCGGGGGGAGGGTAGCGGCG